TTTCTAGAACCGTAACCACTACCATGCTAATAGCTACATAATACAATAATGGATACCATCATCCTTTGACCAAGGTTCAATCATCCAATTCTTTACAGTGTTGCTTCCATGCTTGGAATCTCGCCTGAGCAAAGAATGACCATGATTGGATAAACAAGTTATTCGCCCGAAAGTGTTCTTGATCTTGTCACTGTGTCCTTGTTGCTATAGAAAGATAGATCCAGCCACGCTGTGCCTTGTAAAAATACTTACCACTTTCTTGTTGTTTGATACACCTCCTTATCCATCATTGCCCAGAATCCTTGGTGAATTGCGTTATGCCGTGCTCGATATTGCTTTTGCCGACTCATTAATACCAGTAGTAGCATCCATGTAAACGCACTTCTTGTGATCATTGCCATGGGATCATCCAATGTAATAAGTCGAAGTGTAAGATACGCCTTGTACCATCTCCTTTTGCCTTGTACCTTATGAACTAGAATGAACGATATCTTGTTATCATTATGGCCGTACGATAAAAGCAGGAAGAAGTGTTTGCACATACCGATAGTGTTGCTTCACTCATGGTTGGATCGCAATACTCTCTTGGTCAATGAGGAGCCAACATGGTCACTGATCCTTGTTTGACACGCTCCACGGTTGTTTCGTTTCACCGTTGACGTTGCTGTTGTTGCGATGGAAACGGCATCAGTGAGTGTATGGAGGAGTGGTTGTTGAGTTGGTGCTGTGTAAAAGAGGAAACGCCGCCATGGGTACCAACCTGCTATCTATTCATATACAGCAGCCATGGATACATAAAAGAGACCCAATTCATAAAATCTGTTACCTATATCGAAAAGGTGATACACATGAATGACTGCATACTTTTGCTGCAATGACACTATGCTTCAAGTTGTACCTTACACAAAGGGATCCATTGAGTGTCTCCGATTGATATCAGCTAAAACTCCACCACTGCTTGCTGTTGACGATCCGTGCACGCATTAGTACCTTCCCCATATAGCAATGTCCCAAGGTACAAGAAGTGTGTCTTTATGTATGTCTTTTATCGTGAACATGGTGTAAAGAAGGCAATGACTGCTGCAACCCATATATGGAATTTTGGTGTCACGCTCCTTCAGCCGCAGCAACCATCCGCAGCAACGGCTATAAAAGAACCGCCTTTTTCCTTTTCTTTTCTTTACCCTTCCTTTCCAATGAGGTTTTGGCGCGTCAAGGCCCGGCACCTGATTTGAGGGATAGTTGTAGGGGGCTCCAACTATTTCTCTCAGTCTTCAAAAAAGGTAAAAGCGGTGTCTCCGGCACTGCACCTTGTCGACCTGGAATTGGTGCCCACAGGTAGAGGTGGGGATGGTTGAGCAGCGACCTTCTCGTGGTCATCCCTGTAAGTACTTGGCCTTTTGGCTCAAGGAAACCAACAGCTGCTTCTTTATAGTATTAGTATTAGTATCATCATAAATAAACTTGTCTCTTTTAAATACACATACACACTCTTGTCTCTTCACATGTTCTAAAACGCGTTGCCAAAGTAACAGTTGACTGATCGTTGCTGTGATCTTGGTTCCAAAAGTGGCCCCTGACTGATCTCTGTGATCTAAGGAACAAGTAAGGCGAAGCTAACACCGATTAGAGTCATGAGCAAGTGGTGTTGTTGTAGTGTGCTGGTCTCGGTTGTTGCTTGTTTGCTTGTAATCCTCCCTTTCCATACATACAGCTGTATCTCCCCAAAGCCTACACTTTCAGCTTGATACTTCAACCATCATGTCCCTTTATTGTATTCATAAGCTCGACACAATAAAAGCAGCACACCTATATTACTACTACTAGCTTTAATCAAGGACGCGATGGGATCAGGAATAAGAGGTTGCTTGAATATGGTTTTTATATACGCTTTTGTGTGTGCTAGCTGTGTGATTGAAAAGACCTTTGGTCAGGCAATGTAATTTGGGTATCATTACCATATCTTTGGATTCGGTTCCCAGCCTGTATCTAATGCTCCTTGATACCAATGCACAAACAACACGCTCTTCACGTAATAAGGTAGTGCTTATGCATCTTTGCAGAGATCTTTCGTAAATGACTTGGGTTGTTGTTTCCAAAAAGTATCAATCACACAAAAGTATCCAGCACTCCATATGTAAGCTATTTCTTGTTTAATTTGATTTATCTATAGTGTGTATATGTATTTATTAAGATGCGGGTTTTTTAGGAAACAGGGGGGGGATTGTGGAATAGGGAAGAGTAAGAAACGAAAGGATAAATAGGAAGAGTACAAAGAAGATGTTCATAAATTTTCGGATGAGGGAATGCATGTAGTGGTCTAACTAGAAGCCGATTCGGAGGGGCTGCTTGACGAAGAGTCATCCTTGGAAGCGTCCTTTGAGGAATCATCATCCTTTGAAGCATCGCTCGAAGAGTCCTTTGAAGAACCATCATCCTTCTTGTCATCACCACCACCGGTCAAGGAATCAACTGTATCGGAAACGCCCGAAGCAACAGCACCACCGGCTGAAGTGGCAGCACTTGCAGCTGAGGACACGGCACTCTCAGTGGAGTTGTCATCCTTCTTCTTGCCATCCTCGTCAGTGGGCAAAGACATGCCAAGCAACTTGATATCAAGACCACAAGGAACGTCATTTTGGTAATAGTAAAAGTACGAAGGATAACCGCCATCGGTTTCACCCACTTGCACAGTGACGTTTTGAGTGATATCAATGGTGATTTCGCCATTACCCAAAAGACCAAGCAATTCAAGGGCATTAGCATCGATATCCACAGGCCATGAATCGGTCTTGACTTGACCACCAGCAGGCACAGTAACAGGATCGGGAAGCTCATAGTCAATAGTACCCATCTTGTATGGCTTGCCATCATTGGGGTTAACAATCTCAGCCTCAACCTTCTTGACGGTGTAGGGTGTACCAAGCGGGTTGTTCAAGGTAACAGTGGTCTCGGCCTTGTGGGTAAAGATAACGGCAACCTTGGCAGTGACATCGGTGCGCTCAACCAAATGGCTATCAATACCAGCCATGATCGTATCAAGGCGAACAGTCGAAAGAGCATCCTGAATCGATTTGATGGCAGTGGATTCGGGAGTACCAGAAATGGTCAAGGGTGCTTGAGCATTGGTCATGTAGATACTGACAATGTCATCAACATAGTCCTTGTGGTCCTTGTTCATCATGTGCATCATACAATCAAAGGTGTTGTTGCCAGGCTTGATCACGATATCCTTCATAAAGACTTGACCAATGCTAGCGTCCTTCTCCTTCCAGATGGAATCAAAGGTAAGGTCACCAATAGTAATAGTAATGTTGGAGGGGTTGTTGAATGCGACAGTCAATGTAACCTCGATCCACTATATAAAGCAATAGAATGAGTAAAGTGTGCATGAATAAAGTCACGTGTGCTCATTCAACTTACATCAGGAGTACCACCAGTGACAACTTGCTTCAAAATAGTAGTCTTGCCATCAAAGTTGTTGAAACCTAAAAGAGAAAAAGAAAGGAATGTGTGAGGAAAAAGAATACAAGCATAAAACAATCATACATACCAGCAATTGAGCTATCAATGTCGTAGCTAATGTTGCTCAACTTGAGAGATCCAACAGCGGTATCAGCAACAGAGTTGGCTGCGCCCTTCATGCCAAAGGTGACATTGCTGCTTTCAGTAAGAGCCTTGGTGAAGCTGTTGAAGGTGGTTTGGCCATCATCATAGACATCAAAAGGCACATCCTTGAAAGCGGTAGTGATAAGACCAGAGGCATCGGTGGTGGCGTCGACATCGGGAACAACCATGTGAGCAGCGGTCTTGTGTTGATAGGAGGCATCCAATTCCATGTTGAGAGACGAAACAGCAAGAGGGAAACCAAATGGATTCTTGAGTTGGGCATTGACCAAGTTGGAGCTCATAAGAGGAGCATAATCAGCAACAGTGAAGTCGAGTTCCATTTCATGCAAAGTGATGGAAGGAATGAGCTCAGGCACCTGATCAGGACCAGGAAGGATCACATTCTTGATATCAATGCTCTTGAAGCCTGTGGTAAGCCATCCAACTTGACCATTGGGTCCAGAACCAGAAACACCCTTGACTTCAAGCGTGGAGTTCTTGCCAGCCAAGTAATTGGAGAAGACCTCGGTGATAGCATCCAAACCTTCTTGGCTATCTTGCTTGATCAAGCGACCCTTCATTTGCATCTCACTTGTACCAAGAGGAGGGAACACAGCAGCGCCATTCGAGGCAAGTGGGCCAAGCAAAACATCGCCAAAGTACGATTCGAAACCAGCACCAGCAAGGTTGAAGCCAACTTGACTAGGGTTCTTGATAACCGTTTGAGTGATGAGTTGAATACCACCAGCAGGGTCGTTGGCAGGCAAATCAAACTTGGTGATAGAGACACAATCCTTGAAGGCCTTGGCACCACCGAGCAACACATTCTTGGTCATGTTGATGTTGGTGAAGTTGTATCCAATAGCATCGACAGCGACACCTTGGTTGCTAACAATGTTCCACTCAAAGTCGTCATTGTTGATCATGAAAGCAGCAAATTCGCCCATGTAGTTGCTGTCGGCAATAGAGAAATCACCACTGACATTGAATTCGGCACCCACGTTGGGTTGAGTGTTGATGGTTTCCATGGTAACCTTGCCAAGCTCCTTGCCCTTCCATGAAACAGTCAAAGGTTGAGGGAAGCTGATGCTTGCTGCCATGGGACCGGTGTTGGTGATGCTGCCAACCATTTGGACCTTGAAGCTGCTATCAGTGGGCTCCGAAAGAGTGATCGTCTTGAAGCCAAGCTTGGCACCATCCACAATTTGTTGCACAATAGGCTGACCAACAACAGGAATAAGACCCGTGACAGTTTCATCAGTGATGGTGGTGACATTGTTTTGTGCAAATTGCAAGGTGTTGACATACTCGCCAATGGTGAGACCGGACTCAAGTTGCAAATCAACAGCAAGCGCCTTCATAGCATCCATGACATACTTGGAGATGTTGAAGCCATCAAAGAGCTTAGGATCAGCGGAAATTTGTTCCTGGCCCTTGATATGGAAACCACCCATGGTCAACAAAGCATCCAAAGGACGAGTGTCAAGGTGCATCTTGGTAGCCAAATCACGCAACAACAATGCAACAGCAGAAGGCTCCAAATTCATGTTCATGTTGAGAGCTTGCGATTCAGCGGTAGCATGGCCAGGGACGTTGAAAGGCTGGTTGCTGATATCTTGGTTGATGTTGCCAACAGGCATACCCGAATAAGTGACAGCGGACTTGACAGAAGTGATGCTGAGATTGGCTGAGAAAGGATTGGCAATAGCAACTTGAACGTTCACAATGCCGGTCTTGAGAGTGTCATTCAACACCGTCAACTTGGAGCTTTGGATAAGAGGAGCCTTGAGACCAGGCAATGTGGAATCAATCGAGATAGCACCAAGAGCACCAGCAAGCGAAGCAATAGGAGTGGATTGATCATTGCCAGCGATATTGACACCATTGTCCTTGCCCATGACGAAGCTGCTCAACAAGTTTTGACCAACACTTGAGCTCTTGGGATCAAAAGCAGCGGTTGCAATGACTGTGTTATCACCACGATTGAGCTTGAGTTGGTTGAGATACACAGTGCCCAACTTGGTGTTGTCGGATTTCATATCAAAGCTGACATCGCCCGTGAAGATGCTGAAATCGGATGGGTTGCCCATAGTGACATTGATGGCAAGATTCATGTGATCCTTCTCACCACCCGTGACATCCAAGCTGTTGATAAGCGTGGGCGTGCTGTTGAGGAATTGCATACCATGCAACGTGGTCGATACATTGAGGTTGATGCCACCAAGAGTAATGTTGCCAATAGGAGTCTGCGTCTTTGTGGTAGCTTCACCAAGCACTTGGAAAGAGTAAGCTTCTTGGGCAGTCAATGCATAGGTGTAGCCATTAAAGTCATTCTCCTTGCCCTCGATAGCCACGATGGAATCGTTGTTCATGGGGAACTTGAGTTGACCGGTCTCTTGATTGCTGTCAGAAGGAACAAATGGAGCCGAAATGGTGGCGAAACTGCCGGTGTCATTGTTGGCCATTTGCAAGTCTTGCTTCACCTCGGTGATGTTGAGGGAGAAACCAAAAGGAATCTGGAAACCGGCGACGACATTGGGAGCTGTCAAAAGAGGCGAGTATGGTTTGTCCTTGTCAAAGACGAGATCCAAGTAGCCCAATTCGACGGACTTGATAATATCCAAAGGCTTGCCAGCACCAAGACCCACATTAAGACGCACCGATTGGAAACCTTCAGATAACCAGCCAATGGAATTGGTGCCATCAGGAGCGGCAGATACACCAGTTGCTTGGGTTTGCGACATTTTGCCTCCCACATAGTTGGAGAACAAAGTGCCCACCTTGGTAAGTGCGTTTTCATCGGTCTGGGGAACAAGAGTACCCTTGAGCTTGATCTCATTATCACCTTGAGACAAAGTGATATCATCGGCAGACACCAAACCAAGATTGACGCCATCGTATCCAATTTGCATTTGGATGGTACCAAGTTGCACACCAACAGGCGAAGGACTCACAAGCACAGTGCCAAGTTCGACCTTGATACCGCCATTGGGATCATCACCAGGCATTTCAAAAGACTTGATAGTAACATTGGGGAAACCACCCATACCTAATTAAAAGATACACATAGATGTTAGCATGGTATTCTTTGATATGGCACGTACGCTCATCACACGCGTTTAAAATAAAAACTTGCCAGGGATGGAGATCTCCTTATCCAAATCAACAGTAGCAGTTCTATAAAAGATGATAGGTTAGCATTTGGCAATAGCAATGAATAAAAAAGAGACATGATGCTGCTTACCTTGACAATGCAGTAATATCCAATTTGCCTTTGAGTCGCCATTTGAATTCATCGTTGGCCAACATTTCCTTGGAGAATGCAGCAAAGTAGGTGGTGTTTGTGATCATGAAAGGAGTGTCAGCATCAAGTTCACCCTTGCCACCGGAGATGCTTCCATCAGGCAAGGTGATAGTGCCAAGCAATGTATCATTGTACAAGACATCAATTGGGTTATGGAACTTGAGAGTAGCAGGGAAAGGACCCGTGTTGCTAAGCTGACTTTTCATGGACATGTAGAAGGATGTGTTCATGTTGAGTTGCTGTTGCTCGTCACGACGTTGCATGTTGCTGTCCGAGGGTGGATTAAACGTGATCTGAGCACCACCAACGTCGATACCGGATTGGTTCATGAGCGATTGTGCGATCATTGGGAAAAAGACAAAGACAATAAGCAAGACGACAACCACCACAATGATGGCCGTCAAGATCGAGCAAATGATCCAATACTTTTTCTTCTTGTAAAATCGTGCAGGTGGTGGTGGAGGTGGTTTTTCGGAATACTCCTCGAGCACGCTGCTCTGGATACCCGATTCATTGTTGATCGGCTCATCCGAATAAGCATGATGCTGCTGCTGCTGCTGTTGTGGAATATCGCCAGTTACAGCAAGCCCCCGCGTTGCTTCATGATCGGCCATGTTGTGCGGAAAGGAAGGAAAGGTGTGGCTCGATTGTAATATGAAAGAACGTAAAGATGCTTATACAACAAGCGAAAAAGCGGGAAAGGAACGTAACAAAGAGGGGAGAGAAAGGTGCCTTTAATTGAACGTGTGGGGAAAGCGGTTTTTGGATTTCTTGCTGAGAAGAGGGCGAAAATAGGCGTCCATCGCGAGGGACGTGGGGAGCTATTCTTTATATGTACTCTTTTCTTTTCCTTTTCTACGCAAGCGTAACCATCACCTTAGGATCGGGGAGCAATGTCTGAATAAGAAATCCAATTGCCCAAGCACGATGGTCTTGCCAATAATCGCTAGTCCTTGTCCCTCCATGTGAATTACCCACCGACTCTCTTCTTTTGAACCTTTTATTGATGATTGATGACAGCTTTTCCCATAACTATAAGGTTTTATCTGTCAACTTTGTTGCCAAATCCATCAGCGTGGAAACATGTGAAATTTGCTTGTCAAAATGTATACATCACAACTACTGCTTGGCTATATAGAAAAAAGCTGAATGCTAAAGTTTGATGCCATGTACATACATTCAATACCAGCATACCATTAAAGTTGACAACAAAACCGCGATTCTATTTTTTCTCCCTTTTGTTTGCTGATCAAAAGGCTTCCTTTGTCGAATTTGAGCCGTGTCACTTTAAATTGTTACACAATGACTTATGTATGAATTTCCGTGTCTGCGTATTCTGCGTTTATGGTTAGCCTTGATCATCCTCATAACGGTCCCTGATTCCTGTTTTTGTAAGAGTACGTGTCATCAAACTTGACAGGTTCTCACACATTGACATTTAAGCAATGAAAACTTTTCATGGAGAAGAAAAGTTCAATGGGTTTCGTGCCTTTATTAAATGCTTTCTGATGTAAAAGTGTGGCAAATAGACTTTTCATTTCATTAAACAGGGATCGCTGTTGTTCTACTCCGCCCGCCCAAAAACGGGGTGCAGCCCAAGGGGCACAAAGACGCGCGTCTGCTATGGTGAAACCGATTGCATTTTGCTTTACGCTCCGTCTCAATTGCGAACCACTCACTCGCTGTTGTAGGCATCTATAGCATGCATAGCCCCATTGTCACGGTATAAACATTATAGCATTTGAGAGATTGTTGTATATGTAAACATGGGTTTTATGATTGAATTAGGCGTATGGCATTGATAAGCTGTGTCATGTGAAATAATAATTCTAGCAGGTGCTACGTGTTGCCTTGGCTCACGAGAACACACATATTACGGTGCCACTGATGTTATTGATGATCTTGCTCAACACAGGCCACCCGGACCTCCCGAACCGGATGCCTTTCCCCTTTTCTCGCTCCCTCCTTTGTCTGACATTGGTACATAGATCCCGACATACAACATGCAGTTTGCATAACATACGCACGACATTAGTTGCATGCAGCACAATGGGGCCATCTCTATTTCATACACCACAAAAAGGACAACCATCAAGCTGTGAGCTATGATCGATATATTATGTGCTGCACGTGCTTGTACAGTGTAAACTTTACTCGTTATTAAATTCTGCTACGGAGCTGGTTTGTGCCACAGTATAGCACCAAGAGGAAAAAAAGATAGAGCATAGCGACAACGTTACGCTCCACAATCCATTTGTGCCTGTACTACTTTCATCTCAATTTCTCGATCCGCCCATCGATAGTTGGGGTTTTGCATATCATCTAGACCACCCTGATGAGGATACTTGGCATCCATTTACCGCATCAAATCGCGGATCTCATACGTTCGTCCGAGGATAAGATAATGCATTGATGAAATTGATTACATTAACAAATGGGCATGCTTTTATACACGATGAACCCATCATCCTGCTAACAAAGATGAGAGTGATGCGCAATCCATACTACTTTTTGGATTTCAGGAAGACGACAAGGGGATTGCATCGTAACGTTCATTGTTATTATTACGGGGCAGCATACGTATTCCACCATGACGGATCATTGACGGAGGATAGAAAAGGAAAAGGTGATGGTGCACTGGCTATCATTGATGAGATGATTGGTTCAATCGCAACATGCCTCTCTTTCGGAAGAAAGACCAATCGGCATCATTCATGCCTTCAAATAAAGATCAAACGCCCAAAGTGTAAATGACGCAGCACCATCATCGGATACAATGACCTTGATTTTTAGGACCCAGACGACACAACCATTGTTATTCTTCAAGATGCATATCTTGTCGTCATATCAAATACGATAGCCAAAAGCCCATAATGTTCATCATCCAATAGCCAACATGGTATCCTATCCAATCCTCTACTACAAACCCTTTATTGTGCTCATTACAAAGGAGACTTGCTATTCTCAGGCTATCATTTATGCTCTAGAGTGATATGCATATTCGAGTGTCGTAAGCAGCAATGACCCAAGCCTATTGATATCAGCAATCCAAAACAATGGCAACATTGTGCAGCAAGAGACAAGGTACAAATAGCAAAAAAGGCCGAAAAGATGAATTCCCTTTGTGTTTTTGTTTTATTTCAAGATCTAAACGGTGGTGTAGCAACGCATGGGGAAGTTGGCTATATTAAAATGACATGTACATATTAGTAAACCCATCCATGTATATCAAGCATTGCATTACTTACGATCGCCAGGATGGATAAAGTCTTCGGATTCCTTCCACACAACCTTACGGCCCCAGTTGGGAGTGGGAGCAAGACGTTGCTTGTTGTACAATTGGCGGTTGGCAAGGACTTCAGTGAGAGGCTTTGCTTCAACAGCTTGAATGGCTTGACCCTCGGCAGCATTGCTAAATAACAATGTTAGCCACCTTCCTTGGTTATGTTACACAAGTCAATGATTTACCTGGCCTTGGTGGAAGCACCTTCGAGCAAACCAGCAACCTTGTCCTGGGAGTAGACAGCAAGACGAGGATAGTTTCTGCGAACATCACGTTGGAAGTAGTAGTTGTTGCTCAAGTTGGATGCCTCAGACTTGGGATACACGTATTTCTCGGGACGCGATCTGATAGGATTGAAATGCACATAGAGATAAACACACGCACACGCACACACACAATAAGTACATCGATTCAGGGTCGTTCGTTCTTATTTCATTCGGCACTTACCCAACAGCAGGAGTACGGTACTTGCCAACAACGGGCATACCATCGGTCGAAAGAGGGTTCTACAATGGGGTTGGTCATTGACAAGAACGAAAAGGAGAGAAAAACAACGTCGCATGGCTCATGAGTCCACTTACAACAGAGAAGTACTTCTTCACCCACGCCCAGGTCTTGGAATTCCACGACATGATCTAGTGTATAGCGCTTCTGTAAGCAATGGCTTGTTGGAGATGTTCAGCTGTGCGTCATTTACCTTTTGTATAGGAAAGCTCTAGTTATTGTTAGACGTCACGAGAAACTTGGCCAGGCTACGCTTTCTGCCATTGAATACCACAGCCAATCAAAAGATGTCGTCTCCACGCTTGCTCACCACCATCCCGCTTGTACTGGATTGCAGGTTTGCTCTATGTAGTCAACTTCATCTCAATGGAAATACATTTATCATTTAAGCATCTCATTTCTTTCGTTGTGGACAATGTGCAAAGAAAAGGGGATCGTTTATATATAACATGAGGGTGTATTATGATGAAAGGTTCGATTGGAAGGCACGTTCAATTCATCAGCTAAGAGTTTGTTGCTATGTGCTATATCATATGGCTCATGGATTCGCACAATTCAAGCCGACCATGCCAATGCATATGTTCAACAAGGCTTTACGTGATGAGATTTGTGGTTGCACAGCAACGTTGCTATGGCAGTAATCACATGATTCATTACACTGTAAGCAGCAATTACATGATTCAAGCGACATGTTGCAAATAGCCATTTTTATTACCAAGCAGGTAAAAGTATTGATTGTGTTTTGGGGGATGTCATTGTGATGATATGATGGGGGCGTAAAAGGAGCATTGTCAGGCTCGGAGTAACCGCACTACACCTCTTCCCGATACATACGACACACATACAACAACTATGCGACTAGGACAACAGAAACAAGTACAGCGTCCTCTTCAGAATGAGCTCGTCACTCTACACAAGTCCCTCGGTGGTGTACGTAATGGCAATGTTGGCGTGTCTTGATCGGTCATTGTTGGCTCACACGATTTGCAAACAGGACGTTTTGGAACAAGCAGCACGTATCCTTGATCACTTTTCTGCCATGGAGAACAGGTGAGTCATGTACACATTCGTAGCTTGGCATTCAGTTTGAAGTAACTTGGGAACAGCAAACTTGAGAGGGGGTCTTTGAATATCCCTACGCACCTTAGTGACAAGCTTCAAGAGAAATGCGATCAGTTTGAGACCGTGTGTGACCAAATCTATTATATCCTGGTATGCTTGTTCTCTCTTTCTCCCGCCTCCAATTAACGTGATCTTCTACTAGGAACAATCCAAACGCGTATTACAGCTGGATTGGCAACAACAAAAATTGGCTGAACGACAAAAACCCGAGCAACAGGACCAAAATGCATCACAATCAGGAGCGAATCATGCCACCGTATCCACAGCACCCGATGAAGATATGGGCACTGATTTGACCCTTTCGAACGTGGATCTTACTGACAACGACGCGATGGAAGATATCCAGCGTGACAATGATCATCAAACAAACGACGTGGTGATGGAAGAAGAAGAGGATATGGAAGAAATGCTCCAGTTACAGCGAGAACGGTTGGATAGGTTACGCAATGTCATTGTACATGGTGTCGATGTAGAAACTATCAAAGCCAGTCAATCCCAAGGCAAAGACGACATCCTCTTTTAGACGAATAAAATCGCATACCCTTTTGAAGAAAGATGTCTCTTTTGCTTTTGTTCTCATTGCTTGTTGTGCTACTACTGCTGTTCTTCATCCATTTCTTGTCACTCGCATATGCCACACGACATCACACTCTTTGATTAACGGCTTAATAAATGATAGCAGTAATAGGATCCTGCTCGTTCACGCAATGTGCATACCATTCAAAGTATACCGTGCATCATCACAACATTTCAGTGCTTTGTTATCAATTAGTAACACACGTTGGTTGATTAAACGACACAAAGCGTTCTCGCCATTAAAGAACCACCGAGAGCGATTCCAATTTCATTCTACGTAGCAGCTCTAAGGGGGATTGGTCACACACCCTATTCCTTTCAATCCAATACTATGTCTTCACACGCCCACCTAGACCAATGGTTCGGTCATGTCCCTCCAATACAGGGATGGTGTTTATATAGGATGGGATGAAACACGTTATACGATTTATTTTACTATCATGATCCACCATAAAAGCCTCCGCTGCATTACCAATGATCGGATGCGCTTTGGATATACACACATGCTCCGTCACCTTCAAGATAGCAGGTGTTAAATGAAGATATCAACATGTATTCTTGTACAGCTTACTCACCATCGTCATAAAAGCATTCATCGTATGCGTCGCACTCATCCTGTTTGTTGTGGAAATCGCTACATTGCTGTCCTGGGGCAAGTGACTTTTCAGGAGGAGGAACACCATTGGCAGTGGCAAGGATAGCAGAAATGGCAAGCGCTAGCACAGCAGAGAACTTCATTGAAAGTATGATGAGGTGGGATTGTCGTGTAGGTAGGAATTACCAAGAAAATCCTGCTCCTCTATTTATATTTTCTGTTCTCCTATCTTTTACTTAGGGGGGGTTTATCTACATAATGATGCTAAACGCCGAGCATAAAGACCCATGATGGAATGCAGTACACATAAACGATATTGGTTAGCCAAGGAGTGGCGTAGACTTGCGACGCCAAATATGCAAGAACCCCTTCTTTGACCTTGGCGGACTATGTGTAGATACGGTCGCAGTTGTCATTTTCACTGTGGATCGACGCAGCGTGGTGGATACCGGCTCACTTCCAACAAAGTTGAATCAAATGTTTTAAATGAAAATGACAATACACCCATATTCATCACAAGCGCATCATGTATTATGTTTGTAGCGATGATGCCTTCCTTCTTAATTGGCGTAGTTAACGTTTGGATGCTTTCGGTGTATGGCTCTCATAATGTGCTTCTTTGATCGACCTCCTGCCGTTCCAAGCATGTCATGTGCTGCATTTGTGGCGAAAGATAACATGTTCATCTTTTCTGTTTCTACTTGCCGTCTGGTACCTGTATTCAATTTATAGCGATACATGTTGAATATGTGGTGTTTGCATATATACATATGAGGATCTTAGACCGACATCACTTCCTCGTTGATGGTGGGTGCTTTGGTTTTACAAAAGGTGAAGCCTAATGTGTATGATACTGGGTAATGGAGGGGTTATTATGGCAGGGATTCTTTTAAAAGCACGTAGTACATATATATAAAGAAGGGCTTTATCAATGTCCATTTCTAAGTACGGATTACTTACGGCAATCTTGGCAAATGTGGATCACCCTCCTTGTATGATGAAATATGAATAGCTGTGCAATAAAGCGGAATAAGGCTACTATTTGCTCTTTTCTTCCATTGTTGTGCATATAATGTCTGCTCTCCGAAACATATACGAGAAGCCGTGGCAACATCCTTTATGGTGACGCTATGGTACATGAAAATGGGCTTATCAACAAATGGAGTTGAGTACAATATTGTCTACCCTACGTATCTGGCCCAAAGGAATAATATGACGATGACTTTTATTGGTACGTAGTAGTAGTGGTACATTGCATGGTGTCACAAATGGGTCTCCGAACTTGTTACTGCTGTATGCGCCAATCCTGACATTGACCTGAGATCGTCGGCTTCTTCCGGACCCAAGATTCCCGCAGCAGCTGCTTGTGTCACTCATTGTTCTTTCATCTCTCTATCATTTTATCTTATGGACGATCTATTTGTACTTGATACCAACACCGGATATGAGAAACAACTGCATAGCATTGGAAGACGCATGCTCCTCGAGTACGATTTGGTCATTGGAGACAAGCATTACGACATGCTCGAAGTGGAAGCTTATTTGAATGCACCTGGCCATCCTGATCCCTTTGTCCATGCACACCCATTTCAAAAACGTAGCGGCTATTGGGTAAGCTGTACACATTGATATGCATCCTCCTGCTTGCTGGTAGGCTAATCGTGGGTCATGTGATCTCCTTGATGGGGTTATAGTTCTTTCATCGGGCGGGCATGTCAAGTACGCTTCGCAATGGATCAAGAAAAGGGGTTGATATCACCGTTGGAAAAGCAATCAACAATAGCACTGGTGGCCTGCTTATTCGTGCTGTGGAGGACAAGGAAACTGGACGAGTGATTGAAGGACCTAGTTTACTTGTGGATGAAATCCTCTTGGGCCTTGGTGGATTGAAGACAGCTGATTTGGCTGATGAGCATTGGGATTGTTGGACACAAGAGAATCGTTTATACCTCAAGAAAAAGGCGACTCCTTACAGCCAACCTGTACATCAATCATGCCGTGTTGGATTGCGTCTAAGTCATCACAATTTGACCACCCGGTTGCAATACGTCGGTCGTCCTTACCGTTACGTGATGAAGCCATGGCTTTTGAAAAAAGGCCGTGTATGGACCCTCTTTGGATTGATGGAAGAGAAGCTCACAATCGAGGAAATGGTGCGCTTGACGCTCATGAAGAAAACGTTGATGCCCAAATACAAGTCTGAATATGACATTGGTCAAAAGGATGCTATCAAGACTATCAAGCAATGTGTTTGGGGTGGAAAGGATATCGTTGCAGGAAATGCCTTATGGAAAACAAGAGTCATGAGTGCTGTACGATGGTGGGAACGGCAGGCTGAGATTGGCAACATTATCGAGATAGAAAAGAAATAGTAGATACATGTATTACTAGTAGTTGTGCTTTTACTCATGTATAATAGAAGATGCATATACCTTCAACTAGCAGGCCATTATAAATGTCGTCATTGCATATCATGTATGAATTTCTCCATTACAATCTTTATTCATGTCTTCTCATAGAGAGTGGGTGAATGAAATTTCTAATTGTAAGGGCAGCAGTGGCGGTTGTTGGACAAGTTGTCAGAAAGGCTGATCCAATCAATTCAGACTCAACTGGGAAGTGGGAGCATTGACCGTTGCTTCAAGCTCCCTAATCGAGGCTCCTTCTCTTATCTACGTGCTACAGTCATCATGGTACGTATACTTTTGTGGATGTAGCAAAGAGCTGCAATCATGCGAATGATGGATGATGGCGATGGATGGATAACAAAAATAAGGATGGATGAAACCGAAAACGGGATGGATGAATATCCAACATCATAGTACAGCAATCACTAACTCCATTGTGTCTCTCTTTTTTTGACATTGATAGGACGCTCAAAAGCAGCCTGTTAAGCTCGCCCGTGTTATCAAGGTTCTTGGCCGTACCGGCTCCCGTGGTGGTGTGACCCAGGTCCGCGTCGAATTCATGGACGACACCCACCGCAGCATCATTCGTAACGTCAAGGGTCCCGTTCGTGAGAATGACATTTTGTGCCTCTTGGAATCTGAACGTGAAGCCCGTCGTCTCCGTTAAGCCGAAAATAAAAACTCGAGCCAGCAGTTATAAACCAATCGACTTTTTTTATTACTATCCAAATGCAAGTTTATACTCGATATGATGATGGTGATGTTGTGGGGAGGTTTGGATGTAGTGGTGATAGTGGATCATTATTGGCTATTCGATGTCGTTTCCTTGGATTGTTGTTGTTATTTGAGATTTGACTATGTCGACGATTCCTTGGTCTAATAACATGATGGAGATGAATAGAATGTTCATGCACTTCCTCACGTGATCCTCTACCCTGATACTTACAAATCTTGGTCATCCCCTGATAATAAATCTTGCATAAGCGATGTGCGTTTCATCTCATCAAATGCCCAACGTTCCGCCTATCAGTAAATGAGTACCGTGTCTATGCATTACCATGATACACATACCTCTAGCTTTTTTCGGTCATCACCCAATTTGATGGCAGCTTCGGTTACTTTACGTTGTTCTGCTTTGGCTCTTGATAAGAGTTGGCGTAGCTTGTTTTCAGAAGTTGCATCCTCATACACAGAAGACTCTGAACTACATCATCATTGTGAGAAAAAAACTACCCGCAAAGTCAATAGCAAGACATACTCAGAAAGCTCGACATTGGCATTGGGAGGGGTGTTGTCAAAGAAGGCTCCGTCAGTAAATCGCATGTACATTTGCACTTTTCGATCGCATGCTTCCAGGCACGTTTCTATTGTGTGGATAACAATGAGTTACACGCTTATGACCCAAACATCCATGTATGATCCATACTTAACGTTTCCACCAGTTCATCATTGCTTTCTTCCAATCGTGATATCATTTCATCCTTCTCTGCCATATCTTCTTCGCTGTATACTTTGCGCATGTCAATTTGTCGATTCCATTCTTCCTTGAGTCTGGCCAGCAGATCATGGACACGATCAATAGCTGTGGATCCTGCAATCTCCAATGGCAACTGCAATAGTGGATAATCACGTTCCCCTTTGTCATTCTATATACACAACAATCAATATCCATTCATCCTTTGTCACTCACCCATCCTAATTTACCTTTGTGGAAGGAAATGTGTCATTGTAATTCCTTATTTGCCGAGAAAGCAGATCCGATACGGTGCTATAAAGGTCGACGACAATCTTCCTGAAGGTATCCGCTTCTCTCAATGCGCTCTTTTCACGATCACTGCTTTTCCTCAAGAGGTCTGTGTACATGGCCCGCTCCTATTTTACCCTCATCAGCCATTTACTCTTACCCTTAATCAACCATCGCCGATCTCCTCCTACCTCAGATACTTCTTCAGAGTCCTTGCTGTAGCTCGCACTTCCGGGAAAAGGATCATTGATCACCATGGAGGGCACATTTGCCTTTTGTTTTTCATCCATCAACTTGTATAATCGCTCTCGGGTCTTTGCTTGTTCTTGTTCATGTTTGCGGGTATCATGCTATGACATAAAGTCAATAGACCATACATCGAGCGTACTGCCTCTTCTTTTTCTTACCGCATACTGCGCCTTTATATATTGCATGTTGTGTTTGGCTTGTGTTAACTCTGTCGTGATGGCTCGCCGTTTATCAGCCTCTGCTTTGACCTTTTTGTTTGCCGAACTAATTGGTAACCAAGCAACAGTCAATGATTCCAAATGTCTACTTTGCCTAGTACCTCCACCACTTACTCGACTTTGGCCTTTAATTGTATACACTCTCGCCTGCTTTGATCCAAATCCTGCCGGCTTTTTTCCTAGATACAAGTCTTTTCAATATATCACGTTGCCTTCTTTTTTCCCCATCCATCCTCTTACCAACTTGGATTCCAGCTCTTGTTGACCTTGTTCAAGCTCTGATACTCGACGCTCCAACTCTGCACGATGATGATCATCTCTCTACGTAGATAGTATCTATGAGAAACCATCCCCCCTATTCCTCGTGGTAGTGTCGTACTTGTTTGTCCTTAAGGAGTGTATATAAACAGTTGACAATATTGCAGGTGTCTTGATCGTTGTTGCTGTCAAAGATCAGTGGAGCAGGATAGTTGTGTGCTGTTAAAAGAATGTTGACGTAGTTGGCAGTCGATGCGAGGTTGGATGGCGAGCATAGTCTATGTGAAATACAATGTGAGATTAGGAGAGGTTCTATTGGATCGATAACGCGACTTGATAGTACTCATTCTTGTTGGTGGTGGTAGTAGTCAAGCCAGTCGGTTCATTTTCAAGGGCTGGAGAAAGAGGCGGTTCCAAAGACCTGCATTGATACTGTTATTGTTGTTGTACATGCGAGATTGGAGTAGACTTGCCCCAAGGAGAACGAGTGGTCATCGATGATATCCATGGATATGCGAAAGGAAAGAATCCTCTTTTGGAATACAAATGGCGCGCTTTACATGATCCAGGTCACGGGTGTGGTATTAATAGTGCACCGCTTTATTTCCCCTCTCTTTGTTTGTAGTAAAATGGTTCATTATACAAGGTCATATCAATAAATGATGGCTTCCCAAGTGGGAGAGTGTCTACCCATGGTATTCATGCTCTCTCTTTGTATTCGATTGATTGGGTGGATAATGTTTATTATTGATGACACGTTTTTCTCTATTTCTTTTCATTGTCCTTGTCAGAACCTTCCTCGATCTTTTGGCTGGGTGGAGTATCATCACGACCAGGACCTATATAACAACAATGATGACAATGAATCTTCTCTCTCCTATCCTATTATCCCATACACACTTGCATACACTTACCGTTAGCTTCCCAAGGTGACAAAGCACCTTCAAAGTTTCTGAAGGCTTGAGCCAATTCGAGAGGTTCTTGTACAACACGCTTCTTTTCTTCATCGTAGCGTAACTCGACATAACCAGTGAGAGGGAAATCCTTACGCAATGGGTAGCCTTCGAAACCATAATCGGTCAAGATACGACGAAGATCGGGATGGCCAACGAAAAAGACGCCAAACATGTCATAGACTTCACGTTCTTGCCAGTTAGCGACGCTAAAGTGGGGGACCATGGAAGGAACAGGGGAGGTTTCGCTGGCATAAGTCTTGACACGGATACGAGCATTGTAGCGCATGCTGAGCATATTGTAGACGACTTCGAAACGATGCTCGCGCGAGGGATAGTCGACACCAGTGATATCCTGCACAGACTTGAACTGACAGTTGGTATGATCACGCAAAAAGATCATCACAGGCTCAAGAGCTGAAGGAGCAACATAGACGGTCAATTCATCCTTGTAGACACTGAATTGTTGGATATACTTGGGCATAGCCGAGATGAGATATTGGCCATACTCGTGAAGTGCATCGTTGCCGGATTTGTAGTTGGGATCAGCCTCCTTGATGTTGGCTACGTTGAATTCTTCTATCAGCATGCGTTGGGTCGTCGCTTTATTCTTTCTTTACCTTGCATGCGGGTGGTGGCACTCACGGTGAATGCACGTCGGCTGGTGGCGCGAAAAGCGGGTTTGGCTAATCGTATAGAATCAGTGGCCTAGTTCAAACGACAACCATGCGTTCACCCCCCCCAAAAAAAGAGCATACCTGCTGCCAAAAGGGATTGCCGATGAGTAACAGCACGGCGTAAAGTGGTGGGCAAGAGTCTGGTGGCCATTGCTGAACAAGTCAATATCTGCTCTGAAAAGACACTCTGGTACCGCAAATGATGCTTTGTTTTGGGCCGGCAGACGTCACAAGTCAACCTGCTGCCAGCCCAAATCTTTCCCTTTTGAGCACAACCTCGTCGCCTTGACAACATAGAGATAGCACCCCCATACACTCTTTAAATGCATATACAATAAATCTGCCAATAAACTTGTCTAGCCTACATTACGACTGGAATTATTGTTACAAACATCGACCATGGATCTTGAAGGCGTAAACAACAAAGGATAATTTTGTTTTGGTGTACATAGCTCATCTCCATCTTTTACGTAGGCTACGTAAATGTTTGCCTTATTCACTCCAACAAGAAACCCTTTTCTAACATCTGATGCACGTTATTCCCCAGGAATCACAATGCGGCAAATGGGTGATATGCAAATACACTTGAGTTTATTACTCACTCAGGGTCTAGAAGTTCTTCATTCTGTTGTTGTTATCATACATGCGATATGCTACAAAGAGGACTCCAACAAGAGCAGCTGCAGCGACCAACTTGAAGAGGAATGAGAAGAAACCACCACCAGAGCTTGACTTGCTCTTTTCATATTTAGGAGACTATATCAATAAAAGTTAATACTACTTGCCATGGATCGCTTTAGTAGAGTTGAATACATACTGCAGGTACTTCCTTGGCCTTGGGCACCAATGTCTTGGTGGTGATACCAATAATATCGTGATTATCTACTCGAATGTGTCAGGATATCCATCAAGGCAATACAACACACGCCCGCCCACAATTACCTGTCACTTCACCAGTATGTGCAGTAAATCCAAGGTAGATGTTATCAGGAAGAGTGATATCCGAAGTCTTTGAAAAAGTCACGTGAGACACACAATTACAGTCAATATCCTCAAACACAAACCTTGAAGCATTGATCCCACTCATCCTCATCACGCCACATGACGTCCAATTGAATGTAATTGTTCTTGTAGTATGTTAATTTGGCCTTGGTAGGGAAGCTCTTTGAACGGAAGTTGGCCTAGCAGCAATGTGATGCATGAACAAGACATGTTTATCGATTCCTTTGTTTCTTTTATAGCTTACCGCACATCCAGCAAATTCAGTTGTTCTACCATCCTTGTCATTGTCATATGACTTGAAACCATCACCCAACATGGCTGAGATATAAGGGAACGTGTGACGCTGAGATCAAGTTTGCAAATGTGAGGATCCTGTTGCGTTCGATTTCATACCAACATAGTACATACATGAGCACGTTCGTTGTCATAGGTATCAAAAAAGATACCAAGGCCGTTAAAGTTATCCTTCGAGCCAAAGACAGGTCCGGGGGATAAGCGATCCTTGGTAAGCCACACTAGCAGAATCGAGTAAGTAAACCTTGTACTAAACGCCATCCATGCATGTATGCATATGTGATCCTTACTCGCAAAGCCGTCGCCATACAAATGACCTGCTTGTCCTCCCACCTTGAACTCAAACTCAATTTCGAAATTGGATGCAGTCAATGGCTATAGGATATGATAGAGCTGATCAATCAATAACGCGTCTTGGTCAACCTCCTTTTGGACTATTATCACTTTACCAATCTGGACCATAAGTAACCTTGTTGCGATTGACGGTTGCTGGTCAATCGGATATGTCGATTGGTGTTAATGATGGCGTCGCCTGCAAAGTCAAACCAGCGATTTTGAAGTTCATCGTCTTTATGAACCGAGTTAGCTGAAACAGGAACGCGTAAAATGAGAACAAGTGTTCATTACCGATATAGGGCATCGAGATGGAATGGGTACGCAATGGAACACCACCCTGAGCACCCACAAGGGCGAGCAGCGACAAGGTCGCAAGAACCACACCAAGTATGGAGCGCATATTGGAGGAAGAAGTACAGTGGTATTATACGTCCCCGCCGCCAATGTGCTGGTGTCTTCTCGTCCAGCCAATGCATTCTACTTCAAGTTCCGAAGCCATGTGCCCGCGTGGTTACCATGGATACAACAACAACACCTTTTCTTTGTACTTCCACTGTTGTCTCAGGAACATAAACATCCAGCAATATGACATGACTTGATCTTGGGCGGTTCATGACCTGTTTCGCTTATAATCCCTTACACTTGCCCTGATTACATGATGCAGTAATAATAAATTGGTAGCTGTTGTTGGTGTAGTAAATGATCCAATAGACCTTTAATTCTTTTCACATTCATGCCTGCTGTTGTTACCACTGTTGTCATTCCTAGTGATCTTGTACTTGTCAGCTTTTTATGTTGGCAGAACACCCAATGACGAGACAAAACGCGTGAAAGGGCTTAATTTGACCTTGCTTGTTTTGATACTACCACCAATTGGCAGGTGCAGCTCTTGCAATAATTACTGTACATTCTTGGATGATTCTTTATTACATGTGGGTAGAGGGTATACGAGAAGTAGTGACGCATTGAGATGATCGATGGCATAGTAGGGGATACGTTACACGGGTTCGATCCAAGGATTTACTCGTACAGAATAGTTAACGTGTATGAGTCAATCCATATGTGACATAAAGCGTAGGGAAATGGTAATGAGGAGATGACGCGTGCTAAAAAAAGAAGTATGAGCAGGAAGTTTTAGCTCAAGGCCGACGACGATGACGACCCACTAATTAAATGTCCACCACGCATAGCAAGATAAGGATGTAGGATGCTCATTATTGGAGATGTGTCTATTGTTTAGCATGCGAGTTGTGTCACCAAATGGATCGTCAGAGAAGAAACATGGAAAGTTAATCAACAAGTCGAATGCTATACATGACCCTCATTTCAAAGCATTGATGGATTATTACCTTTGTAGTTCATCATTGTTGTTTCTAGCAAGATGATCACATTATGCATGCTTCAACCTTGCTTCAACGAATATGGAGGAAGCAACAATCAATAAAAGAGAACCGGAGTTGTACGCATTGATCTCGAGACGAATCAGATGGCAAGGACAAGAAAAAAGTGTGGAGAAGATCAAAGTCAGAAAGATTTCGTTTCACGAGGACGATGCCATTTTGGTAGCACATCCTTAGCAATTTGCTTTTCCCCTTAAAGGCAACTGATGTAATCGTGGGAGTCGATTGGCGTATCAGCAACAAAGAAGCAGGTCTATCAAGCAGTTTACATTTGCACGTGAAAACACTTAAAATGCGGAGACACAAACGCGATATTTCTCTGCAGGTCTTTCGCATACACGACACGATCATCATCACCATCATCACATCACTATCACCATGAATGACCATCAATGGATGCTTCAAGAGCCTGTTCCCTTTGAAGGTATTATCCTACGCATACATTCAACCTATACAATATGAAAAACTAACAAAGCAATCATACAGAGTTTGAGTTCAGCATGGGTGTACCCGATTTTTCTATCCCATTTCCTACATCAGATGAATTGTGGGCGTCTTCGACCAACACATCCACATCTTCAGCTTCATCGACATCGGTGCTCAATGAAACGGATCAACAAGAGTTCTCTCGATTCCTTGACTCTTTTTTTGTCGATGATGATGAAGAGGAACGTCGACGTGTATCCATTCTCCAGTCACTTGATGAACAAAAGCGTCGTTTTCAACCCTATCCAACAATCAACAAAAGCAACAAAAAGCCCCATTTGCCACCATCGCCTACTACAGCAGGCTACATGATGTCATCGTCGCCATCCCATACAAGTACATCCTCCTCTTCACCATCGCCTGACAGCCCCTCCTCTTCAGCACTCCATCATGGCATGTTATCTTCAAGCAGTAGTAGACGGCGCAAATCAGGCCGTGAGCTACTATCAGAAGAAGAAAAGCGGGCTAACCATATTGCGTCTGAGCAAAAACGACGCAGCACCATAAGAAATGGGTTCAAGGACCTTACGGACTTGGTGCCATCATTGAAGAACATGAACAACTCAAAGAGCAATGTGCTTTTCCAAGCTGTTGAATTTATCAAATACCTTGAACAGCGCAACCGAGGGCTTCAATCAAAAATCAAATCGCTTGAATATCGCATGGCATGCCGAATGCCCGATGATCAATCGAGGCGGCTATTAAAGCTTCAAGAACAACTCCAATTTCATCAACGTCTTTTATCACAACAGCAAGCTCTCAAGGAGCGCTCGGGCTTGGCCTACATTGCTCTAGACGGTGGCGATGATGAAAACATCCATCACACCATTTCCGCATAACAACGGCAGCATTTACGCACACATCATGTTTATACCATCTCTCTAACACCAACATTCCAGCAACAACAACAACAACCACCCATGTGAATAGCGTCAACAAGTACATACCACCACCATCACCACCAAACACCCTTTCAATTATGTTTATGTTTCTTTGTTCTACTATGTGTATTCTACGTTTCGTCAATATAAGCCCTGTGAACCTGTTTTCATGGTCATATGATGCAAATAAATACTGCAGGATCCAACCTGGGCCTTTCATACAACAAGCATAGAGGCAATAGACATCCGAAAATATGCTCATTATAGTAGGGAAACAGTATTCTTTGGCTATAAAGGGTATAGTAACAAGCTGGAATGTGGGGTTGGGGGAGATGCCATTTGATCGAAACGGGTTGTTATTGTTGGGCGTTTCAAACACGTGAAATTGATGTGGGGAGCCTTGGAGTAATACAAACTGCAACGCTTCGGGTGCCCGGAAAGGATTGACGCCGTGATGAGCGATAACGATGATGATCAGTCTTTGATAAAACATGTACGCTGCCCACCCATTGGCTTACTTGTCACCTTCATAATGGGATTCTCAAAGGATCATGTGGATTTAATCATTGTACACGTCCAAGGGACTTGGCTACGTATACTACATAACTTGCTCTTTTCCATTCGTTGATAAAGGACGCATAATAAAAAGCCACTATAGGTATGGTCATTGTAGTACTTCTTATTATCACATGTGGATCATGGATCACCCGTGCGCATGAATGGGCGGTACCTTCCAATCATGGTAACCAAGGACAACAGAAGAATGGGGTCATTAGCTTGTGCATCAGGAAAATTGATCTTACCGCCACCCAACATTACGGCTATCTCTGGTGAAAATGCGATCAAGGTACATCACACACCCCTGAAACAAGAATGACAAGAGCCAACCACGCATCTGGAATGGATGACTTTTAGGCGAGAATTGATAATTCCATCACCATCAACAAGCTCAGGCAAGTTGCAAAGTTGAATGGTATAAAGGAACATGCTCTTCATTGTTATAGAATGAGATGGACACCATCATCATTTATTATGTCGTCTCTTAAACATGATGAGGGGAATACTGTAAATAAGTCCTTGTACCCTTGTGTTCCTTTCAGTAGGTTTATTGATGCAAATGAATAAATCAAGCGATACCAAGGAAAGAGATTGCCAACATGTAAACGGTGGATTCAGGTAATGGGCAGCAGCTTGCAGCCTTTGATGGATTCAGGATGATGATGTAGTTGCCTAATAGAGAAATTCAGGTTCCGCTACAGCAGCCCATGAAGCTCGGCAGAGTGCATTGGATGAACGACCTCTTTCTAGACAGGTATGCATCCATCCTATAGCTCAAGGGATATCCATTCATCCAAGAGATATGCAATACTAACAACCATTCTCATTCTTTATTTCATCAACTTTATCAATTTGCCAATGGATGGATGGGTTTTCATTTTGGATTTGATTTCTATTATACGACATTCAGGCCAACATGGTTGCATTGAATCTTCCTGCTGACGTTTTGGCCAGCGCCGATGGCTCTCGCAAGCTCTTCAACAAGTGGTCGTACGAGGATGTTGAAGTGAAGGACATTTCGCTCCAAGACTACATTCAAGTTCGTCAACACGTGTATCTTCCCCACACTGCTGGTCGTTTTGCTGTCAAGCGTTTCCGCAAGGCTCAGGTATAGTAGTAGTAGTAGTAGGATATGAAGGGGGGGGAACAATAACAACTCACGTGGCATCATCCTCATAGTGCCCCATTGTCGAGCGTTTGACCAACTCGCTCATGATGCACGGTCGCAACAACGGCAAGAAGCTTATGGCTGCTCGTATCGTCCAACACGCTTTCGAGATCATCAACCTCTTGACCGACCAAAACCCCATCCAAGTTATGGTCGATGCTATCATCAACACTGGTCCTCGTGAAGACTCCACCCGTATCGGTTCCGCTGGTACCGTTCGTCGTCAAGCTGTTGATGTTTCGCCCATTCGTCGTGTCAACCAAGCTATTGCTCTCTTGACCACTGGTGTATGTATCATTCTCTCTCTCCATCTCTCTCTTAAACAACCACACATGCTAATAGCACTTTGATAATAGACTCGTGAAGCTGCTTTCCGCAACGTCAAGACCATCTCTGAATGTCTCGCTGATGAGTTGATCAACGCTGCCAAGGGCTCCTCCAACTCGTATGCCATCAAGAAGAAGGACGAATTGGAACGTGTTGCCAAGTGTAAGTGATGGATAATTGTATTGCTTATGGCATGTGTTTGCTAATGCTTTCTTTTTTACCTTTTAGCCAACCGTTAAAGTTATCGGTTTGCACATGTGGTGCAGGTTTGCTCTTTCCTGCTGCTTTGGTGTTATGGTTTATGAAATAAAGAGCTTTTGAACCTATTCATGATAATCGGCTGGTTTCACAGGATGTTGTCAATATGTTTTCTTTTGGGCGGATTTACGTGGATGGATTACAGCAGCAATAGCCGTAGCCGTTGATATGACATGATTTACGCACACGTATGTTTATAGCGTGGTATTATTTAGGATATGAAAGAAACGGATACTGTAGAATGTAAATGCAGCTAATGTAGCATCTCAAATGTGCAATGTTGATTAAATATGACTCGTATTGAAGAATAACAACAAGGATCACTTGTATAGTGCTTCACACCGGTTCCTGCAGGTGCCGCTAATAATGGATGGTATTCCGTGGATCAATGGAAGACGCCATTGAAGCTTGTGGTGATGATCGAGATGGTGGTGATAATACATAATGGCGCATGTCTCGCCTTGACGGTGACTTCACGACCTATGTAATTGGATCATCACCACTATTATGGGGGGATACATGGATCGCTCACAGAGAAGCCAATACATAATCCATCATGGCATTCACGTCAAGTTGAGCTCTGAAGGTGTCAGCAAGCAACGAGTGGCATGATAGAAGAGAGAGATGCATGGCAATACAACGACATCATGTTGTTAATCGAAATGCCTTAGACGTGATGATTGATCATGCATAAATCAACAGCTTATTTACCAAACTATGGTTATGGCAAGCATCTATCGTTTGCCTTGACCCACCCACCACTTTACCAGTAATCCTAAGGTGAATAAGACCATGGTCTTGGTCTTGTAAATATAACCTTGAATCGATATCGACAATGCGTCAGTGTGTGAGTGAGCATCACCAAGTTTTGAATATGAGTTGGGCAATCCCAGCTTTATCCATGCAATTGACGAGTTCATAAATCGCCCGGTAACAGCCATTTCCTCTCATTTGAAACTTTTATCAATTCCACTGCATATGAACGATTCTCCTTCTCCAGCCCAACATTTCCATCATTCAACTTTATTGATCGGATGGGATTTGACTGAGCTACGCCCAAACAAAGAATAGGTCAATTCTTGAAAGACAGACCCTGCGAATGTCTCCGTCTTTCAAACTTTTGGACGCTCCCATTCCAAATTTTCAATTGAAGCATGAGGTCTTTATTAGAAAAAATTGATCAGCATACTCGAGAGCACCTCCTGACCAATTTTCAACTTCGAGATGGGCAACTTCGGCGCGGTGGGCCGTCCGCTCTTATGTTCCCATCAATTCACCGTGTCTCCTATAGTTGGACCGCCCCGCGTTCAAACGTTTCATAGTGAAGTATGGGTCTTTTATTAGAACAACTTCATCGGCATGTTCAAGAGCATCTTGTGTGAAAGTTTGAGGTTCGAGAGGGGCAATCTCAATATCAAGTTTTGGATGTACAGTGTTCATGCATTTATATAAGAGGTGTGCTACCTCGTTAATTTCCACTTCTTCCATTCTCAGCTTCTTCCCTCTTGCTCCCATTCTCAACTGTTGCCCCATTCAAGTATACAACTACCACCTGTGAACGATTGTCCTCCTTCAACCCATCATGTCAACGTTACAATTGCCTTGATCCAATTTGTTTTGACTGAATGGCAAGTCCATGGGCGTGTGCACCCCACTACAACACACTTTCTCTTGTACAATCCTCTACCCCAACCAAACGTAACAGCATTCATTTCAGCAGCAGCTATTCGCTCCATTGTCTCAAACGGCATTCACATTCTTGTCACTCTACTACAACACACGCTCTTGCACACTCCTTTGCCACGACCAAACTTGACAGCAGTTACCATTAGGGAAGTCTTCACTCCTTTGTCTCATGTTACTTGCAGCAACCTGCCTTGTGGCCGTCATCACGTGAACAGCAGATAGCCATTGTATAAAAACAGCTTTATTTACGTGTAGCAACTTGCTTTGGCACATATGGATTCCAATGGATGATGCCATATCAGCTATCAAGTACGCAGCAATACAAGCTATCTTCACCTGGTTGAGCAGCAATGAAAAATGACCAAGAAAAAGATATATCAACTGCCGGATGGAAAAACAAACATACCAGCAGCGATCACATGGCTCTTTTCAACCAACTCATTGGATTTGATGGATGGATGCAATCAAGTGCAGTGATGGGATATCCTGGAATGTTGCGTTGGTTATTTTTCGCGTCGTCAGCAGGAACCATGGATCATGGCATGTGGATACAGCTGAGGATGATGATGGATTGGATGGTATTGGCGAATGGACTTATATCGTTGACGAAGGAAGGTGTTTTACAGCGATGGATGACATTGGAATACTCAAGGCAAGTCATGCAGCAACTATTCTCCAGCAACCAAGAATACAATGACAGTGATTCATCCGTATATTATCAATTTGCAATGCATCATAGTATTAGTTTATAGACATCCACAATACCATATACTATTCTTCTACTTTTTCATCGAATGAAGATTGGATTCAACGTAATACTTGGGATACTGTATCATCTTAGCTCATATCGGCAAGATGTGGATCACTTGGTTGGTTTCTGGTTTGAGGGGAAGGACGAATGTGAAGGTCCGAAAGCGAGATTCGATCATTTACGTTATCGTATCAAGACGTTTTTGCTCCT